TCCTTCATGACCCCAACTTCCACCGGCCAGGCCCCGGGAGCAGCCGAAATGGTCTCCCTGCGAGCGGGAACTTGTCGGGTGTTCCCGTGGACACAGGTTATGGGGAGAAAGGATTTACACTCCGTTTGGGGTGCGAGAATATGCGACTGGACCAGAGTGACCGCACTGCCCGAGTCCAGGATGACCTGGAACTGCTTTCCATTCACTTTCACTTCCACCTCTGGCGCTCCAACCGGCAGGTCGCGGTGCACAATGCAGCCAGGTCTTTGCGGGGACTTCCTTTGGCATGGGCTAATCCCGCTGGGAGGGAGCCGCCGGCCTGCGTACTGGTCGCGGGGTGCCCTCCGGCGCGCGCCGCTCCTGGACCATCCTCCGGGGAAACGGCGGTGCTCGCTCCCCAGCATCCCGGTGTTGGGCCGCATCCGCCAGCTCGACAGCCTCCACCAGCTCCGACGTGGTGGTTCGGTTCCTCATCCCAACGGCCTGTCAGTGAGATCAGGGAAGGGCTCGGAGAAGACGGTCTATCACAACGCGCTCCTCCACCTGTCCAGCCGATGGAGCCCCCTCCAGCAGCCAGTGCTGCCCGAGTTGTGTGAGTTCGGCGGTCTGGGCACGGGCCGGCAGACAGGGCTTATACTCCCACTCGTGGAAGTGCTGGGCGGCACAGATAGGGGATAACCCCAGGCGGGCTAGGATTTCCTTCTTGACCTCCTTATATTGATCGGCGGCGGGAAGAGCGAAGTATGCATGCTGCGCTTCGCCCGTCAGCAGGGGAGCCAGCATCCGTGCCCAGTCATCCTGATGCCACCCTTCCAAGGTGGCCGTCGCTTCGAACATTTGTAAGAAGGCTTCTACGTCATCATGAGGGATCAGCTTGGGTAGCAGCTTCGCGGCTTGCACTCGGGGGTCCGGCAGAGGAACGTGTTGAGCGGTGGCGGCACATAGTGCCGCGAGTCCCTGCTCCGTCTCTCCTTGACGGGTGGCGAGGTGCTCAACAATTTGTTGCTGGCGGATGCTAACCTCGGTGAGCCGCTGGAGGATTTCGTCCATGGTGGGGGAGGAGCGCTCGCCTGTGACAGAACCCGGAGACAAAAACAAGAAAAAAAAGGTGAGGTGAAGAAGATCGCTTGTCGGGGATTCTTCACTGATTCGCCCGCATTCTCCACCAGTGTAACGGGGTGAAGAATCACACGACAAGAAATCTCAATCAATACCACGGAGGGTGGATTTATTGGGGTGAGGGGTGCTTGTGAGAAAGG